TCAGTTCCCGGGGCTGTTATGGGGTTCAGTATAAACGGGACGAATGTATGGACGGAAGGCTTCGGTTATACGGATATCGAGAATAATGTCTCAACACATAAGGACTCCGTTTGGCGTTTGGCATCAATTAGCAAATCATTGACTTCAGCACTGGTCGGGCAGCTCATGCTCATGGATCGCCATCTCATTGATCTGAACGCAGAGATCCATAAATATCTGTCAAAAGATTTCTATCCCTTCAAGACATTCAACGGATCGGCAGTTAATATAACCGTTCGGGAAGTCATGTCTCATACGGCAGGCCTTCATATGACTGATTGGCCCGAAGATTTTGACAAATACCTGATAAGACGTGCAGACAATGTGAGCCAAACTATTAAACCATTCAAAGATGAAGCCTTACTATCAAAACCGGGAACTGAATTCAGTTATTCAAACTATGGTTTCCAAATGGTTGGCGCTATCATTGAGTCCATACTTCACAACACATATGAGAATGAAATTAAGAAAATGTTTACACAATTACACATGAATTCAACATTTGCTGAGAGACGAGAAATGATTGTTAAACTGTGAAATTGATTAAATCGAGAGTAACTAACCTTGAAAATTTTAGTTTAATAAAAATATGAAATAAACATTTAATTGTATGGTGATATCAATAATGTTTGCACAATGAGAATGAAATCATAATTTAAATGATTGTATATAAAAGCAAAGGACTGAAAAAAGTATTTAGTAATAACATAAGTTTTAATAAAAACAAAACATTAAAATGATATTTTATAGTGAATTACTACTATCCCTATTATCCATTCATTTTTCTAATAGTCTTAACATTGAAAATGATTGGCAACTCAATTCACATTCAAGCCATGAATTCATTGAAAATTTAAATTCAAAGGCAAAGTACGATACAATAGATGATGTGATAAAAGATGCCCGGGTACAAATGAAAGCATTTATGGATTTTAATCAAATACCCGGAGCTGTGATGGCATTCAGTATAAACGGCACGAATGTATGGACGGAAGGCTTCGGTTATACGGATATCGAGAATAATGTCTCAACACATAAGGACTCCGTTTGGCGTTTGGCATCCATTAGCAAATTCATTTTTAATAATTTGTTTGTCTCGATGTAATGCTTTACAAAGGGATTTACAATTTGAAAAGTTTGATGAGTTTATAAACAATGGATTTAATGAAGAGTTGGATTCAAATAAAAAGTACGACTCTATCGATGACGTGATAAAAGATGCCCGGGTACAAATGAATGCATTTATGTCCGCCAAACAAATACCCGGAGCTGTTATGGCATTCAGTATAAACGGCACGAACGTATGGACGGAAGGCTTCGGTTATACGGATATCGAGAATAATGTCTCAACACATAAGGACTCCGTTTGGCGTTTGGCATCAATTAGCAAACCATTGACTTCAGCACTGGTCGGGCAGCTCATGGATCGCCATCTCATTGATCTGAACGCAGAGATCCATAAATATCTGTCAAAAGATTTCTATCCCTTCAAGACATTCAACGGATCGGCAGTTAATATAACCGTTCGGGAAGTCATGTCTCATTTGGGATGCCTGCACGTGACAGAGTGGCCTGGTGATTTTAATAAGTATATAATCAGACGCGCAGATAATGTGAGCCAAACCATCAATCGTTTCAAGCAAGATAAGTTAATATGCAAACCTGGCACTCAATTTAATTACTCTAACTATGGCTATCAAATGGTTGGCGCTATCATTGAGTCAATACTTAACAATACATATGAGAATGAAATGAAGAAAATGTTTTTGAAAATAGAAATGAATTCAACATTTGCTGAGAGAAGAGAAATGATAATCAAACACAGACCACAATACTATGAATTATCAAACCAAACATCCGGGACATTGCAAAAGTGTGATATATTTGACGAATTGTGGTCATACGAGGGTTGGTTCACATCGGCAGGTATGGTCTCTACGGGCGAAGACTTATTACGATTTGGAAACGCAATGATATCCTCATATCACGGGAAAAATGAAAGTATTATTATAAAAATATGATTACAAAATAATTAATTAGTCAACATTTATAGGTTTCTTAAGCCAAAGCACAGTAAGTGAATTGTGGACTCCGGAGACTATTGGTAAAACTAAGCCTGGTGGATTTGAATCACAAGAATATGGTTTGTTACAGTGAAAAGTGATTTATTTATAACTAACAATACTTTAATCACATTAAGCTAAGGGTTGGGTAATTGCACACTTGAACGATACCGTTCCCTATCCTTATAAGACCCTCGTTTGGCACAACGGAGGACTGGACGGCACGTCAACATTTCTGATACTATTCCCCAACGAGAATATAGTAGGCCTTGCCTTCGCTAACTTGGGATCGGTAATAGGTTTGGATGAGATGGTGCTATATGTGGCACAAAATTTTAAGGATTTCTTATAGAATTTTTATTTATTTAAAAATTGTTAAATTATACTGGTCCTAATATTATAATAAGCAATACAAACCATATTAATGTTATTCTGAATTTATTGAATTATATTCTGATAAAGTATTTGTATTGTATTTTGATAATAAATTAAGACTATTTTATAAGATTAATTGGTTAATAAGGTTTAAATGTAATGAAATGATGTTGTTTTTATTACAATAGTAACTGTCTTAATTATTGACTTAAGATATTAATAAAAATATTGCTAAATATTTTAGCAAATACTGTACTTTATTAATCTAGATTATAGATAAACACTTAAACCTTTGTGATTTGAATGCACCTGTCCTGTTAATTAATAATTTATTGTACTTTCAATTAGTGATTTATTATTTTAAATTACATGTACATCAACCCGGCGTGTTATTAAAATAGATGATATATTATAAACTTAAATATAAGTTAAAACTGTTAATGATAAAATTAATAATGAATACTTATGTAGCTAACTAAATAAGAGATATGGTTTAATGATTAAACAAAAATATTTTAAAATACAATTTCTGGTATTTTATTATTTTTAAGAAAATTAAAGTGCAAATAAAATTATGAATATCATTTGTTGTTATATGTCTATTTTCATACTATGATTATGTAATACACAATGATAAAAATAAAAGTATCAATGTTCAGGCCTATTATAAACTATTATTAAAACATATACTAGTATAATATTTATGGTAACTTATAGTATAATATATAATATTTCTAATTATTTTTAATAGTTTTAAATTGTTAAATTAAAAATTATTCAAAAAATGATATCAAAATAATTTATTGCAAATAAAGTGCAGATAAAGAGACACCAATGCATAAATAAAAGTAAATGTTTTGTATTTACAGAAATAGTTCAAACAGTATGTACATGGACTAAAATGGATTTCTAATTAACTTAGTAATAAATAATATTATAGTTTAATATATATTTTAATATAAAACCTTTCCTAAGTTTTCTTACAAAATAATATTTATCGGATATTCTGTGAGATTATTAACACCTGTTTAGAGGGATTATATAATTGAAAATCTATAACTATATACTGTATACTGAATCTAATAAATAGTAAAATATTATTTGTAAGTTAGTTTTATAAGATCAAAATGAGAATGATATTTGAAAGTAAAATATTTGTTATAACCTTTTTTATATGTGTTTATTTAACACAAAGTTATTGCCTTCAAACTGAATGGCAATTAAAACATTTCAATGAATTCATAACCAATGGATTCAATGAAAACTTGAATCCAAATCAAAATTATGATACAATTGATGACGTGATTAAAGACGCGAGAAAACAGATGAAGGCATTTATGGCCAAAAACTCAGTTCCCGGGGCTGTTATGGGGTTCAGTATAAACGGGACGAATGTATGGACGGAAGGCTTCGGTTATACGGATATCGAGAATAATGTCTCAACACATAAGGACTCCGTTTGGCGTTTGGCATCAATTAGCAAATCATNACGAATGTATGGACGGAAGGCTTCGGTTATACGGATATCGAGAATAATGTCTCAACACATAAGGACTCCGTTTGGCGTTTGGCATCAATTAGCAAATCATTGACTTCAGCACTGGTCGGGCAGCTCATGGATCGCCATCTCATTGATCTGAACGCAGAGATCCATAAATATCTGTCAAAAGATTTCTATCCGTTTAAGACATTCAAGGGATCGGCAGTTAATATAACAGTTCGGGAGATATTGTCACATATGGCAGGCCTTCATATGACTGTACTTCCCGATGATTTTGATAAATACCTGATAAGACGTGCAGACAATGTGAGCCAAACTATTAAACCATTCAAAGATGAAGCCTTACTATCAAAACCGGGAACTGAATGGAGTTATTCTAACTATGGTTTCCAAATAACTGGCACTATCATTGAGTCCATACTTCACAACACATTTGAAAATGAAATTAAGAAAATGTTTACACAATTAAACATGAATTCAACGTTTGTTGAGAGACGGGAAAAGATATTCAAACACAGACCACAATACTATCAATTATCAAACATAACATCCGGGACATTGCAAAAGTCCGATATAATCGATGAATTGTTTCAATACGAGGGTTGGATGCCTGCGGGAGGTATAGTATCCACGGTTGAAGACTTGTTACGTTTTGGAAATGCTATGCTATCCGCATATCACGGCAATAATCAAAGTATATATGAAATTAATATTATGAATACAGTATATAATATTTTGAAACACTTTAATATCATATGTTATTCATCATAGGCTTTATAGCTCAACTGACTGTTAAGGAGTTGTGGTCACCGGAAACTGTGGGCAAAATCAAGCCAGATGTGCTTGGTACAAATGATTACGGTATGAATAGTTTTATTACTTAAAAACCGTATTATAAATAAGAATTATTTTCATTTATTATTAAACTTATAATATTAAGGAAAGGGATGGTTTATCACTCATCTACCGGCGCCATACCCTTATAAAGAACTGATTTGGCACTCGGGTGGACTGTATGGCACCAGTACTATTTTGTTCCTGTTCCCCAATGAAAATTTAGTTGGGGTTGCATTTGCTAATCGGGGATTTCTAGCGGGTCTGGATCAAATGGTGCTGTACGTGGCTCAAAATTTCAAAGATTTTATTTGAATTACAGTATTCAGGTTCATTTGGAATTCTTTAGGTTTTCAAATTTAACTTTATAATTACGGTAATAATTATCATTTAATTAATAATAAATCTGACACAAAATTTTTGTTTTTAATTATTGAATTTATTTTGCAAATACTTTTATATGATATAATGATTTTTAATTTACTAAAATAATATTGTTTTATGTTGTGTTTCATTCATTTTATATTTATATGTTTTCTATAGATATTCAGTACTACAGAAAGGTTATCAGTAAAATTTAGTATAATATGATTTCATTGGGTATTGTGAGAATATAAACACATTTTTGAAATACAAAACCTATTAATATAAACTGAATATAAATTTAATATGATTAATTTATTTCTACTAAATAATAAAATAGTTAGCAATGAATACTTTCAGATATTCTATCATATAGGGACAGCAATGCATTAATAACTATTGTTATAAAAAATCAATATTAATACACAAAAAAATTGTAAATATGAAAAATTTAATAATATATATATTTAATGTTTTATAGTAAATGTAATAACAAAGTAGCTTAGTAATTTTTTAAAAATCCATTGTTTCTATATTTTACATAAAAATAATGTGAAGATTAATATAACCTAATATATTAAATATAAATTTTTATGAATCTGCATGAATCATGCAGCATGATAATTTAAAGTCTAGAAAATAAATTCTATACAACATGTCCAAAATTAATGAATATTAATACCAACATTATCCTACAGGGATTTCATGACTTAATATTGAAATAGAGTTAATCGTTTAACAAATAGTTTAGAAATTAACATATTGTTAACAATATATAATAATGTTAATAATAAGTGTGAATCTTATGTGATGATAAAGCATTGATTGTACCACTTATTTATTAAATTTATATGATCTATTGATTTTTGATAAATACTTTGTAGTATACAGATACAATGTCCCCAATGTACTGTACTTGTTTATCAAATGTATTTTTACAATAGATATTATCCTGTATTTT